CGTTATACTCAAGATGCTAATTATGGCTGACAGCTCTCAGTTTGCAAAACAGACAGTAAGGGACTGGTCCCAGGGTGGTCGGGTAGAGTTTATCAGAGATCTCCGATCCAGGGTGCCAACGGTCAGTGTGGAGAGGTGGAGGTTGGAAATAGCGAGAATTTGGAGGAATGAGATTTACGACCAGTGGTTGATAAAGAAAGATAAACAAGTCGTGGGTGAGTAGTAAACTTTATTCGTTGTCGGGGAGCTAGGTGAGGTCTGGTTTTGCAAAATCTAACTCGGGGTTGAGAAAGTATTTGTAGTTTTGCCCCATGAATGACTGGTTTTTGTGCGTATTGGGGAGTTTCGGGGACTAAGCTGTAGTACCATTACTTCAAGGTTGCGGTTTCGTATCTTGGCTCACCGACTGGACATGTTGACCTGTATATCTGATCATGGCTACTGCTGTGGTTTTGGATACCGGGATTCAGTATCCCGCTCCATCACTAATTTGATCAGCAGTTGTGGATCAAGTGGTCAACAAACCGGTGAAGTCAACTACTACTACCGCTTTAGTCACTACATCACCCCCGGTGATTCACCGGCTTTGTGGTTTGGGCCAATATCTATTATATGTTGTGTACTTGAGTTCTTCGTTTGAAGTATGGTGTAGGGGGGAGGATTGTAGATAAAATCTGGTGGCAACTGAGTGACGAACCGGACGAACAAAGAGACAGCTCGCAGGCAGTCAACTTTCGATCATGCCGTCCCCCGTCATCAGCGGACGCGAACAACGGGCGTGATGCCGATAGGGCAGGCGGGCTAGGGATTCATAACGCTGTTATGATAACGGTGTAGAGAGGTCTCGGGGATATCCATACACGTCGCACATGTTCAGATTCCGCGAGTTCATCGAACGCGTTGAGGTTCAGGGTGAGCTGAGCTCCATCTTACTGTAAATTGATATATACCATATGTGGACAAGAGTGCTAGGTGAGTGAAAAAAGACTTCAAAATCGGTGACAAATGCTCACAAAATGAGCAAAGTCGCTAGCTAACTCATCATTTCTTCAACAGTGCGCCGAAATCAGTGATCTTAGATAAGGAGTATTCTGTGCACAAAGTCCCAGGAATTAATATTGAACGCCAACCCAATGGAGATATCAGCAGGGTGATGTTATCCACCAAATTAGCATATGTACAAAACATACCAATGACCTCTCAAGCAGAGCACATGCAGCTGCGTTACCGAAATATAATGGGACAGATGGAGCCGAGCAATGTTCGGCAAGGAGCACGCTATCTTGAGGGAGGCACCGTATATGTGAACGTTGTCAGAGAAGGAGCCAAAAGAATGGAGCTAAATGTCGAACGTAAGATACTGAACGTCATTTCATAGACTTAAAGGGTGTTTCAAAACTCCGTGGACAACATGAGGACCCCGGAATTTCTAAACCACGTAGTTTTCGAGAACGACAATTCGCTCGAACATTAAGCATATCGCAAGGAATACGCATGCAAAGAATGAGAGGTTTTCATGTCCAGTTAAAGTCTCTGTGATTGGAGCATACATCGAGGGATCCGATGAGAGATAGTACATGCCTTTGTACCAGGGTCTTCGTTGAAGACTCTTCAAGGTATACTATGAACGGTTCAGCTAATGGTCTTTGTAGGTTCGAACCAGGGCAGTTACGTCGTCTACAGCCCTTCTTATCTCTGGAGGTGAACTAATATAATTATTTCTAGCCTTCTCTTGAATTTCTCGGGAGGAGATATTGACAGCTGACTCTCGTGTAACTCAACATGGCCCTTCCTGCTATGACAAATATCTTCGGTAGTGATGCAACAATGTCTGTCGAACAGACCAGAACTGAAAATCAGAGTGGGAAGCATCGAAGTACTTACGTACATATTTGGATCACGAAGAGATTCGAGACTCTACTATGGTACGGACTTCGCAATGA